TGTTCCAGGACTCCCAGTGGATGCCTGAAACTTCAGATAGTACTGAACCCTATACATAGTATGTTTTCTCTTATACATACATACCTATGATAAAGTTTAATTTATAAATTAGATACAGTAAGAGATTAACAACAATAATAAAATATAATAATATTAATAGTACAATAAAAGTTATGTAAATGTGTTCTGTTTCTCTCCAAATATCTTATTATATCATACTCACCCTTCTTGTGATGGTGTGAGATGATACAATACCTAAATGATGAGATGAAGTGAGGTGAATGACTTAGGCTTTATGACATAGCATTAGGCTACTATTGACCTTCTGACAATATGTTATAATGAAGGAGGATCATTTGCTTTTGGACCATAGTTGACCATGGGTAACTGAAACCATGGAAAGTGAAATAGATAAGGACGGACTCCTATATTTTGAATATGACTATACAATTGCATTTATCAGTGTGTTCTATATTTTCATGTTACTAATTAGCATACTTTTAGTTTGAAGAACTGTGTTTAGCATCTTTTGTAGGGTAGGTCAAGTAGTGATGAACTCCCTCAGCTTTTGTTTGGGAAAGTCTTTCTCCTTCATTTCTAAAGGACAGCTTTGCTGGTAAAGTATTTTTGGTTTGCAGTTTCTTTGTTGCAGCATTTAGAACACATCATCCTACTTTCTCTTAGTATTCAGTGTTATAGCTGAGAAAACTGCTCATACCCTTATGAGGGGAGGGGAGTTCCCCTGTATGAGTTTTTCTCAGGGCTTTCAAATTCTCTTTGTCATTACATTTTGACTTTTATCATGAGTTGACCTTCGAACAATATGAGGTTTAGGGGTGCCAACCCCTATGCAGCCAAAAAACCGTATATAACTTGACTATCCCCAAAACTTAGCCACTAATAGCCTATTCTCCACCAAAGCCTTACTAATAACATAAAGTCAATTAACCCATATTTTGTATATTATATGTATACTGTATTCTTATATTAAAGTAAGCTAGAGAAAAGAAAATGTTAAAATCTTAAGAGTAAATACATTTATAGTATTTTAGTGTATTTATTGGAAAAAGTCTGCTTATGAATCAATCCGCACAGTTCAAACCCATGTTGTTCAAAAGGGTCAACTGTAATGTGTTGGTGAAGTCCTCTTTGGTTTGAATCTTTTTGGGGACTTAGGAGCATCATGTACTCAGATTTCCATGTCTTTCCCCAGATTTGGGAAATTTTCATCCATTATTTATTTATTTTTTAAAGATTTTATTTGTTTATTTGATAGACACAGTGAGAGAGGGAACACAAGCAGGGGGGGTGGGGGAGGGAGAAGCAGGCTTCCCGAAGAGCAGGGAGCCTGATGCGGGGCTCGATCCCAGGACCCTGGGACCATGACCAGAGCCAAAGGCAGACACTTAACGACTGAGCCACCCAGGAACCCCATCCATTATTTTTTAATCCATTATTGTTTAAATAAGATTCCTGTCCCTGCCTCTCTTCTTCAGGGCCCCCATAATGCAAATATTATTCTGTTTTCATGATGTCCTATAATCCACATAGACTCTCTTTATTCACTCTTTTTAGTTGTCTTTTTTCTAATTTGACTGAATGATTTCAAAAGACGTATCTTCAGGGGCACCTAGGTGGCTCAGTTGGTTAATCATCTGCCTTTGGCTCAGGTCATGATCCCAGGGTTCTGGGATCGAGCCTCGCATCAGGCTCCCTGCTCAGTGGGGAGCCTACTTCTCCCTTTCCCTCTGCCTCTCCCCCTGCTTGTGCTTTCTCCCTCTCTCTTTCTCTCTCTGAAATAAAATCTTTTTTTAAAATGTGCAGAGCACTATTAAAAAAAGAAAAAGATGTATTTTCAGTTTCCGATTCAGATTTTGATTGATCAGGCTGGCTGTTGATGCTCTCTATTGCATTTTTCCTTCCTTCCTTCCCTTACCCTTTTTTTTTTTTTTAAGATTTATTTATTTATTTATTTATTTGACAGAGAGCAAGCGAGCGAGAGCAGGAACACAAGCAGGGGGAGTGGGAGAGGGAGAAGCAGGCTTCCTGCCAAGCAGGGAGCCCGATGTGGGACTCGATCCCAGGACGAAGGCAGACGCTTAACAACTGAGCCACCCAGGCGCCCTCCCTTCCCTTTCCTTTCCCTTTTCCTTTCTCTCCTTTTCTTCCCTTTCATTCATTCAAGTTGGGGGCAGGGAGAGGATCTCAAGCAGACTATGTGCTGAGTGCAGAGCCTGATACAGGGCTCGATCTCACAACCCTGAGATCATGATCTTTGCTGAAATCAAGAGTCAGACGCTTAACTGACTGAGCCACCCAGGCGCCCCCTGCATTTTTCATTTTTTTTTTTTTTTAAGATTTTGTTTATTTATTTGACAGAAACACAGCGAGAGAGGGAACACAAGCAGGGGGAGTGGCAGAAGGAGAAGCAGGCTTCCCGCAGAGCAGGGAGCCTGATGCGGGGCTCAATCCCAGGACCCTGGGACCATGACCTGAGCCGAAGGCAGATGCTTAACGACGGAGCCACCCAGGCACCACCATTTTTCATTTCATTCATCGTATTCTTTACCATAACTTTTTTCCAGTATAATTAACATACAGTGTTTTGTTTGTTTAAGGCGTATAGTATAGTATACCATAATTTATTTGGTCCTTTTTTATATTATCTGTTGAAAAAGCTTGTATTGTTTATAATTGTTCTCCTTATTTCATTGAATTGTCTGTGTTTTCTTGTAGCTCATTGAGCTCCCTTAAAAGAATTATTTTGAAATCTTTGACAATTCTTAGATCTGCATTTCTTTGGGGTGACTGATCAATTACTGTGTTCCTTTGGGGGTGCCCTGTTTCCTTGATTTTTTTGTGTGTGTGTTTCTTATGGCCTTGCATTTTTTTTTTTTTTTTAACATTTATTTGAGAGAGAGAGCGCACAAGAAGGGGGAGCGGGAGAGGGAGAAGCAGACTCCCTGCTGAGCAGGGAGCCCGATGCGGGACTCGATCCCGGGACTCCAGGATCATGACCTGAGCTGAAGGCAGTCGCTTAACCAACTGAGCCACCCAGGCGCCCTAGCCTGCATTTTTGTCTGTGCATTTCATGAAGTAGTTAGTCCCTTCTTCCAGACTTTACAGAAAGGTTTTGGTGGGGAAGATCTTTACCTGTGTGTGTAGATGTGAGTGCACCGGCTTGGTGGGGTGTGGCAGTTCTGACTACAGTTTGGTCAAGAGGCTTAGTGTCTGTGCAGCTCTGTTACCTGAGATCAGTGTCATCAAAGACTGTAGGAGTCCTCAATAGCCAAGGCTGTGTGTGTCCACAGTAGTAGACAGTGCTACTGGGAACCTCCTGATCTCTTTCTCCCACAGAAAATGTTTTGTCTCGTGCCTGAGACCTGGGCACTCAGGTGATAGCCATGGAGCAGTTGCGCGGCTGGGGTCCAGGGTGTATGCAGGGTTGGTGTGAGTGGCAGCTCTGCTTCTGGAATGGAGCAATAACTCCTTTTTTGGTGGAGGGGGCCGCTCAGTATATTCTTCTCTGGCAGGTCCCCCATGGTGATAGCTATTGGTTACCTTAGTGCAAAAGCTGCCGGGGTCTGCAAGCTGCCGGGGTTTTCTGCAGAGCAAGCATATGGGGTCCATGCCTGCAAACACTTGGACACGTCTGCTGGGTAATCTGTGATGTTCTGCCACTATAGCAGGACTTGTTGATGTTCTCTGCAGCAGAGGCTGCTGAGGTGCCCTCCAGAGTAGGGGAGTGGAGTGGCATCAGTCCTTTGGCTGACATAGCCCCACCCTTCTTATTTTCTGCCTATATCCAGCTGTCTTCACTAAGCCAGTGTCCCCATCAATCCTTCCTGTGTGGTTATTCTCCTTTTTGTGTGCTCCATTGTGTCACTGTAGTAGTTTGTTTGTTTTTTTTTAATGATTTTATTTATTTATTTGAGAGAGAGAGCACATATATACAAGCAGGGGAAGTGGCAGAAGGAGAGGGAGAAGCACACTCCCCACTGAGCAGGGAGCCTGATGTGGGGCTCAATCCCAGGACATTGGGATCGTGACCTGAGCCGAAGGCAGATGCTTAACTAACCCAGGTGCCCCTGTAGTATCTTAATTGACTCTTAAGCCTGCCAAAGACAAAGGCTGGTTTCTTCTTGTATTACGCTGACATCACCTTGCTGTCTTTTGTGCTGAATAGCCCGGGATAGTGCTGGCTATTCATTTGTCCTGTTTTTCCCTTAAGACTTGTATCGTCCATGTCCCATGTAGTTGCTCAGGGCTTACACGGAAGAATCCTTTGTGTATCAGAGGATGGGCAGGACTCCAGACATGACAGAGTGGACTCAGAGGGTCATGGTCCTGGTCAATGGATGGAGAGAGTGTTCAGATCACACCAGGTCCCCCATGGTGAACCTGTCTTTATTCACCCACACTTTCATGTTGTTTTCAGTGGCCACACTTCATTTCTACCTTCTCAGTTCCATTTTGACATTTCGCCAATTTGTCAGTTCTCTCATCATTTCTAGTACGATTTCCAGCACAGGGATAATCTCCACCTCTCTGGACTCCACATCTCACCCATTTCTCTCACTGTTGCTGTACTCCAGCATTGGCCATGAGATGTTCACACATCCCTAACTTGACACTGAACAGCAGCTAATCTGTTACAGTTGGGTTTTAATGGGCTTGCATGCATGCTTTTACCCAGCCTCACATCAGCAGTAGCAAAGGTCCTGCCAAAGACTCTTGGCAGAGAAATGAGTTGTAGTCCTTGCCTCTTTTTCTTGTCTCATATCCTGTCTTTGTATCCTTCCCCTGGTGAGGTCTCCACCATTCTGTGACCTTAGGGGTCAAATAATGCACAGTGGCTGTTCCTTCAACTGAATTCCAACTGCTGTGTCTGGAAAAGCATGTCATACACTCCTGCCTAGATGAGATGGATGCATATATGTGATGGGCTCACCCCCTCACTATAGTCAACACATATTTCACCAGCATTTCTTTGCGTTCAGGTTGTTGCTGTGGAGCAGAGGATACGGAGGCATCTTTTGAACAGAGCACTTCTATAGGTGTGTCACAGACCACGACGCCCAAGGCAGCTCAGTCTTCCTGTAAGACCCACCCCTGTGAGATGTGTGGTCCAGTCTTGAGAGACATTTTCCACTTGGCTGCGCACCAGGGAAAAGAAAACAGCCAGAAACTGATGAGGTGTGGGGCATGTGCGAAACGATTTTATTTCAACATAAACTCTCAGCAGCAGGAGCAGCACGTGGGAGAGAAACCGTTTAGATGCGCTGTGGACAAGGCCTCTTTTGTGAAGAGCTGCAGAATCCATGATTCAGGAAAGCCCTTTACCTGTGGAGAGGTTGAGAAGGACTTCCTGTCTGGCTTGGGGCCTCTGCAGCAAGAGGCCACACATACTGGGGAGAAGCCACACACGAACACCCAGTGCAGGGCAACTTTACAAAGCAGAAAAAGTCATTACACCTGGGGAGAATTCAAGAAAGCCTTTGGTCCCAAACACACGCTTGTTCAGGACCACTGTTTTGTGTGCAATGAATGTGGGAAAACATTCAGATACAAATCTTCATTTGCTATACACCAGAGATTCCATACTGGAAAAAGACATCATGAGTTTGGTGAATGCGGAAAATCCCTTAGGCAGAGCTCAGCCCTCAGTCAACATGGAAAGACTCACATTGGGTCCAGGCAATACAAGTGCAGCAAATGTGGGAAATCCTTAAGCCAAAAATCTGTCCTCATTCATCCCCAGAAATGGCACAATGGAGAAAACAGTTATGTGTGCAGTGAATGTGCAAAATCTTTTAGCCATAGCTCAGTGTTGATTCCATGTAGAGGTCAAACTGGAGAAAGGCCTTACAAGTGTAGTGACTGTGCAAAATCTTTTACCTCTATCTCTGCCCTCAGTTATCATCAGAGATCTCATACAGGAGAAAGGCCTTATGAATGCACTGAATGTGGGAAATCTTTTATCTCTAGGTCTGACCTCCGTTATCATCAGAGAGTTCATTCTGGAGAAAGGCCTTATGAGTGCAGTGAATGTGGGAAATCTTTCATCACTCGTACTGCTCTCCGTTATCATCACAGAGTTCACACTGGAGAAAGGCCTTACGAGTGCAGTGAATGTGGCAAATCCTTTACTCGAAGAAATAACCTCATTATACACCTAAGAGTTCACTCAGGTGAAAGACCTTATGAGTGTAGTGAATGTGGGAAATCTTTTACCTTTAGCTCCAGCCTGCGTTACCACCACAGAGTTCACACTGGAGAAAGGCCTTATGAGTGTAGTGAATGTGGGAAATCTTTTAACAATAGGTGGACACTCATTCGACACCGGAGAATTCACACAGGAGAAAAGCCTTATGTGTGCAGTAAATGTGGGAAATCTTTTACCTGTAGCTCCACTCTCCAGTATCATCATCGAGGTCACCTTGGAGAAAGACCTTATGAGTGTAGTGAATGTGGGAGATCTTTTACCACTAGTTCTGCTCTCCGTTATCACCAGAGAGTTCATACTGGAGAAAGGCCTTATGAGTGCAGTGAATGTGGGAAATCTTTTATTTCTAGGTCTGACCTCCATTATCATCATAGAGTTCATTCTGGAGAAAGGCCTTATGAGTGTAGTGAATGTGGGAAATCCTTTATCCGAAGAAACAACCTCATTTTACATCAGAGAGTTCACACAGGAGAAAGGCCTTACAAGTGTAGTGAATGTGGGAAATCTTTTAACAACAGGTGGACGCTCATTCAACACCAGAGAGTTCACACAGGAGAAAAACCGTATGTGTGCAGTGAATGTGGGAAATCTTTTACCTGTAGCTCCACACTCTGTTACCACCAAAGAGTTCATGAAGGTAAAAGGCCTTATGAATGCAATGAATGTGGGAAATCTTTTACCTCCAGTTCCACTCTTCGTTACCATCAGAGAGTTCATACAGGAGAAAGGCCTTACAAGTGCAGTGAATGTGGGAAATCTTTTACTTTTAGTGCCAGCCTTCGTTATCATCACAGAGTTCACAGTGGAGAAAGGCCTTATGAGTGCACTGAATGTGGGAAATCCTTTAAGGATAGATCACAATTCAATAAACACCGGAGAACTCACACGGGAGAAAGGCCTTACGAATGCAGTGAATGTGGGAAGACGTTTAGCCAAAAATCTTCCCTGTCAATACACCAGAGAATTCATAATAGCGAACGGTCTTATGAGTGTAGTGCTTGTGGGAAATCTTTTACATCTGTCTCTGGCCTTGGTTATCATCATAGAGTTCATAGGGGAGAAAAACCTTATCAGTGCAGTGAATGTGGGAAATCTTTCACCAATAGCTCAATACTGATTCGACACCAGAGAGTTCACACAGGAGAAAGACCTTATGTGTGCAGTGAATGTGGAAAATCTTTTACCAGTAGCGCTACCCTCTCTTATCATCAGAGAGTTCATGCAGGTAAAAGGCCTTATGAATGCAGTGAATGTGGGAAATCATTTACCTCCAGTTCCACCCTTCGTTATCATCAGAGAGTTCATGCAGGAGATAGGCCTTTCGGGTGTAGTGAATGTGGAAAATCTTTTATCTCTAGCTCCAAACTACGTTATCATCAGAGAGTTCACACTGGAGAAAGGCCTTATGAGTGCAGTGAATGTGGAAAATCCTTCAGGGATAGTTCCCAATTCAGTCAACACCGGAGAGGTCATACTGGAGAAAGGCCTTACGAGTGTAGTGAATGTGGGAAGTTTTTTACACGAAAATCTACCCTCTCTCAACATCAAAGAGTTCACACTAGAGAAAGGCCTTAGGTGTACAGGGAATGTGTAATTTTCTATTCACTGTTAACACTGGAGGGAACTCTGAGGAGCCATCTGAATTGAATCTCAGACATCTAAACATGCACAGTGGGATATCCCTTGGAAGTTTCAGTACTGTAGTAAGCTTGTGTAAATATGTTGCACTTTCTAAGCTGTCCAGGGCGCTTTCTAGATTTAGCTCACTGCTAGATTTTGTGACCAAAGCCTTTTCACAACTCTCCTGCCTGGCAGGTCCACAAACTACGCATCCGTCACCTCCACAATGTATTCAGTGAAGCTGACCTTTGTTCTCTCATGAATTAGAACAAATTAGTCGTAACCTGAGCCCTTAGGGTCAGTTTCCCCATCTCCTTAAGTACCTTGGGCATGGACCTGAATCATTGATGACCCAGGAAATAAGGGTTTGGCTGGTAGCTTACAGAGAATGACTACCTTTTTTAGGGACATGTTAGTCTCATGTGACACTTGTGATGAGTTTTTTCAGCTTCCAAGTCCGAAACGGTAAATGTCTGCCGCACATTGCTTTGGCTTATGTGATTATCAAGGCCTTACTCTTTAAGTCCTCTTTAATCTTAGATTTCTACTTACTCTATGTTTATATATGGATTTGGGCTCAACAAGCATCGCTGGGTGAACTTTTTAGGAGTCTCAAATTGTCTGTGCTTAAGGAGGATGGCAGAAAATAGCTTGCCAGTTTTGACCAAATTTGCATTGCTGCCCCACAACCTCTGAAAAACTGCAGGGCTTTCTGGTTTTCATTTGAGATCTGGATGCTTTGTGTTTTAGGAGTTTCAGTGATGACCCCAAGGAGGGGTCAGTTGGGAGATCCTCAGATGCTTCTAAAAGGAACAGGAATTTCTTCCCCTTACTCAAAGGAGACATCACAGGAGATGTCAGCACTGTTGAGGAGTTATCTTCTTCAGCTTTACAAACAGCTATGTGCCCTGATGTCCACAATCTATTGGGCTAGGGTCACTGGTTTTAAGACCATAGTGTGCAGGGGAAGCCATAATTGGTACAGAAACACTGGCTTAATAGGATGTGGAGGAGACTGCATCCAAGTAGATAGAATGTGCCTCTTCTAAAAATGGATCCAGACAAGTTTCTGTGACAGTGACTGTAGAATCAGTGTGTATACAAATCTCAGGACCTCTAGGCATATTTATCTTGTGTAGGTAGTCATTGTTGGAGAAAAAAATAAAAACTAAAATAATCAAAAGGTTCTGTGGTTTCCTCTCAGTGATGTTTGCCTCAAAACCACTACCACAGATGCGGGGAAAAAAGGTAAAGGGGGTTCTGTATTTCTGCGATATGGCCCTTGTAACCCAGGAAGCATTCCTGGTGACTTGTTTGGAAATATTCATTGTTCTCCACATTTGCTGCCACTGAGGTAATATCCCCGTAGGCATAAGAAAGAGAGATGGAGTCAGTGTGGGGTTGTCAAACCTATTTTCCAAAAAGTGGGACAAAGACATTCTATCTTGAGCCATTTTTAAAGCTTTATTGAGGTATGGTTTATATGTTCTAACTTGCATATATTTACAGTATAATTTGGCAAGTTTTGACATAGTTACAAACTTCTGAAACCATCATCATAGTCCTGATAATGACCTTATCTGTCACATTATGCTTACCTCATGTCCTTTTATAATCTCCCTTGCCCCTCCCACCCTTCAGGTAACCACTGATTTACTTTCTCTTACAATAGATGGATGAATACCTTTGAATTTTTTGAATTTATGTTTGGAATTATTTTGTTTTTCCTATGTGTCACAATTACTTTGAGATTCATCAGTGATACTATATGAGTAGTCAGGTTTTTTGTTTTTTGCTGAGTAGTATCTTTGGATATACCAGTTTATCCACTTATCTGTGTATGAGGATTTGGGTTTTTTCTAGACTTTGACTATTGAAGATAAAGCTAGTATAAATATTTGTGTTCTTTATGTGAATGTATTATGTTTCTTTGATCTGTCGGGAACTTACGAGTAAAATGTCTGGGTTACAGGACAGGTAATGTTTTACTTTTGATTATACCTTTTTCATCTTCCCAGCAGTGTATGAGAGTTCCATTTCCTCCATATTCTGAATACTTGGTTTGGCCATTTTAATTTTAGCCTTTTTAATAAGTGTTTAATGTTCTCTCATTTTGTTTTAATTGCATTTCTGTAAGGATTCACTATGGGCATTTTTTCAAATGCTAATTGCTATCTACAACTTTGGTAAAATGCCTGCACATATCTTTTTCTTATTCTTTGAGCTTCGGCTATTTTCCTTTAACAGGACAATGAAACAAGTGTGTGTGCGTGCGCATGCGTTATTCACAATGGATTGAACAGCTGTAGCCTTTTAAATTTTTTCTGCATTATTAATATGTTCTCCATCATCTTTTTAAATTTTTTTTTAAGATTTTATTTATTTATTAGAACAAGCAGTGGGGAGGGACAGAGGGAGAGAGAAAGAGAAGCAAACTCCCTGCTGAGCAGGAAGCCAGATGTGGGACTGGATCCCAGGAACCAGAGACCATGACCTGAGCCGAAGGCAGATGCTTAACCGACTGAGCCACCCCATGCCTCTATCACATTTTTTTTTTTAAGATTTTATTTATTTATTCATGAGAGACAGAGAGAGAGAGGCAGAGGGAGAAGCAGGCTCCCAAGGAGCAGGGAGCCCGATGCAGGACTTGATCCCAGGACCCTGAGATCATGACCTAAGCCGAAGGCAGACGCTTAACCATCTGAGCCACCCAGGCGCCCTATCACATTATTTTTTTAAAGATTTTATTTATTTGAGGGAGAGAGCAAGAACTAGTGGGGGGCAGGTGGGGCGCAGAGAGAGGGAGAAGCAGACTCCCGGCTGAGCAGGAGCCCAACTTGAGGCTCAATCCCAGGATCCTGGGATCATGACCTGAGCCAAAGGCAGTCACAACCAACTGAGCCACCCGGAGCCCCTCTCCATCACATTCTCCTTAAGTCCAGTCATTGAAGAATACAATAAAGCCTTGCCTAGTAGTGGTTACCTATTTTCCTGGTTTATCACCACTGGGGTTGGTGGGTTGGAGCAGATGTGGGACAAGGTTGCATCAGTATGGTCTGGGCTTTACTTTGAGCCCCAAAGCTTGGCTAGGGGGTGATGTAGAGGTCATTAATTAGACCCACAGGCACATGCCCCCATCCAGGGCCTCAGTTTCATCCTATGTACAATGGGTATTAGGAGCTGCCCTATCCCTGGTCCACTGGAAATTGTGAAGAGGTGTCCATTCCTGTATAGTTCTACCTGTGGGGAGCATCCTAGAGCCAGGCACCTATAGCTCTCCCTGTTACCACCACCAGACCACTGTGCCCCCAGGTGTGTCAGGAATTGAGCTTCTCAGGAGCCCCTGGTCCAAGTCAGTCTCCAAAACCCACCTGCAGGGAGGAGGGTCTGCACAGTACTGAGGTCTCTGTGGATTCCTGGGAATATCTGAACAACTCCCCAGAGCCCCTTGAACCTCAAGTTTGCTGAGTATGACAAAGAAGTGACGATGGTGTTTACCTTGGCCCCTGGGAGCATCAATAAAACTAACAAAACACTGATCACTTACTCATGACAGAATTCTATGGCATTTTGATCTTGTATATGTTTTTTATATCAAGTTTTTAATATAAATATTAACATAACTTTCCTTTTCACAGTTCTTACTGTGCTTAGCTCTCAGTTATTGGCATTTATATTGCATTAGTAATATCCTAAGTTTTGTTCATTCTATAGAGTGCCACATAAATCAATATATTTACTGTGAAATTTTGTCTAATCCATCTGTGTGTGACCTAGCTTATTTTCTCTTCTGAATCACTCTGTGAGACCAAGAGCATGCTCACCAATTGGTGAATTATCACAGAAATACTTGGATTCATTCATTCTTTTTTTTTTTTTTTTAACTGAGAGCGCACCCCAGTGGGGGGAGGAGGAGAGGGACAAGCAGGCATCCTGCTGAGCAGAGAGCCCCATGCAGGGCTTGATTCCAAGTCCCTGAGATGATGACCTGAGCTGAAGTCAGATGCTTAACTAACTGAGCCACCCAGGTGCCCTGATTCATTTTCATATGTACTGAGAGAGCTCTTCTTATGGATCTCTGCTTGCCCTGCCAGATTAATTCTCTTCAGACCCTCTTTAGACATATTTGATTTGTGATGCTTAAATGCAAAATGATCAACACCATTAAGGTATGTTATGCCATACACCAGAGATTCTTTTCACATAGCTATGTTTTGGTTCATTAAGAGTCATTTTTTTTTCTTTCCTAAAAATTCAATGCAAGTTTTACTTACTTAAAACCTAAACTGTTTAACATGATGTATACAACAGATGACCACTTGGAAAAACAAGCATTCTTATTTTAATGAATTTTGTTAAGAGTGCACTGGAAAGCTTCCAAATACATTTTTAAAACATTCAGTGAAATGTGGCTGATATAAAGTAGAAATGATAAAGTAATAAATATATAACTATGTTTTCTACAATTAGAATGTTTTTTAAACATTTAAAAATTTCAGTCCACTTTAGTTTTGAATGTGTTGAAGGTAAATTTTGAAATCAAAATGAAATTTTCACAAATTAATATATTGTATAGTTGTGTGTATCTCCATATACTGAGTAGTTTTCACAAAAATTGCCTGTTTTAAAACTTCCTAATATGGCTTGTATGGATACTGAAAATATAGTTCTTTTTACATTATATGTCATTTCTGTGATTAAATTTTTTAGTTTTGTATTCTGCATATATTTTTATTTTTAAAAAGTGAAAAGCATATTTTGTGGTTTTAAATTGGGGTCTTGTTTTGTAATGACTCGCACATTTCAAGTGCAGGTTTGTTAAAAAAGAATTTTTTTTTTTCTTAAATAATCTTAGGCTTTTTGTTTCCATGTTCAGCTTGATGCAGTTAATTTTCTATTTGACCTGAGATAAAAATTGAGATTTTCTTTTTCTTTCTCATTTGCAATCCATCTTAATATTTTATTCCGTTATCTATTTTCTCTACACGTTGATAATCAAATTTAATACATACATGTTTATAAAAGTTTACCAATATATAGATGTCAGGGATGTTCCCAGGCTGTCTCCTGTGTACCACTAACCCATTCTGGTTTCCTTTCCAGAATAAGTTGTTAGATATAAATGTAAGATTTCTCAATAAACTTACATTTATTACCCTTTAGAATACATTTCTTTTTAAAAAATTTTTTAATTGAGGTATAGCTGACATGTAATATATTTCAGATGTATAACATATGATTTGACACATACATCATGAAATGCTCACCGTATGTGTAGTTACCATCTGTCACCATACAAAGTCATTACAATATTGACTATATTCCCTATGCTGTACTCTTCATCTCTGTGACTTCCTTATTTTATAATGGGAAGTTTGTACTAATTAATACCTTTCACTTATTTTGCCTATCCCCCTAGCCCTTCCTCCCTGGCAACGACTAGTTTTCTATGAGTCAATTTCTCTCCTTGGTGGTGGTTTTTTTTTTTTTTTAGATTCCACATGTAAGTGAAATCATACGGTATCTTTCTCCATTGGAATGGCAAGATTTTTTTTTTTTTAATGGCTGAGTAATAGTCCATTGTGTGTGTGTATATATATATATATATCGCATCTTTATCCATTCATCTATCGATGGACACTTTGGTTCAATATCTTGTCTACTGTAAATAATGCAATAAATAAAGGGGTACACTTATCTTTTTGAATTAGTGTTTTGTTTTCTTCAGGTAGATATCCACAGGTGGAGCTATTGGGCTGTATCATTCTATTTTTTAGGGTTTTTTTTTTTTAAGATTTTATTTATTTATTTGACAGAGAGGGAACACAAGCAGGGTGAGTGGGAGAGGGAGAAGCAGGCTTCCCGCTGAGCAGGGGCCCAATGCGGGGCTGGACCCCAGGACCCTGGGATCATGACCTGAGCCGAAGACAGATGCTTAATGACTGAGCCACCCAGGTGCCCCTATTTTTAGGATTTTTTTAGGAACTTCAATATTGCTTTCCAGAATAGCTGCACCAATTTACGTTCCCACTAACAGGGCATGAGTGTTCCCTTTTCTCCATATCCTTGCCAACGCTTATTTATTGTCTTTTTTTTTTTTAATATTTTATTTATTCATTTGAGACACAGAGATACAGAGAGAGAGAGAAAGCATGAGCAGGGAGAGAGGCAGAGGGAGAGGGAGAAGCAGGCTCCTCGCTGAGCCAGGAACCCGATGTGGGGCTTGATCCCAGGACCCTGGGATCATGACCTTGAGACGAAGGCAGACGCTTAACCATCTGAGCCACCCAGGCGCCCCTATTTATTGTCTTTTTGATACTAGCCACTCTGACTGGTGATACCTTGTTGTGGTTTTGATTTGCATTTCCTTGATAATCAGTCATATTGAGCATTCTTTCATGGGTCTTTTGGCAATCTATATGTCCTCTTTGGAAAAATGTCCATTCAGGTCTTCTGCCAATTTTTTTTTTTTTTTAAGATTTTTATTTATTTATTTGACAGAGAGAGAGACAGCGAGAGAGGGAACACAAGCAGGGGGAGTGGGAGAGGGAGAAGCAGGCTCCCCGCAAAGCAGGGAGCCCGATGCGGGACTCGATCCCAGGACCCCGGGATCATGACCCGAGCCGAAGGCAGTCGCTTAACCAACTGAGCCACCCAGGCGCCCAGGTCTTCTGCCAATTTTTAACTGGAGTTTTTAGGGATTTTTGGTGTTGAGGTATGGGAGTTCTTTATATATTTTGGGTATTAGTCCCTAATTGGATACATCATTAGGAAATATCTTTGCCTTTTTGTTTTGTTGATGGCTTGCTTTGCCATGCAAAAGCTTTTAGTTTGATTTAGTCCCATTTGTTTAGTTTTGCTTTTGTTTCCCTTGTCTGAGGAGACAGATTCAGAAGACTATTGCTAAGGTTGATATCCATGCCATTACTGCCTGTTTTCCTTTTAGTTTCATGGTTTCAGGTCTTATATTTAGGTCTTTAATCCATTTTCAGTTTGTTTTTTTCTTAATGGTGTAAGAAAGTGGTTCAGTTTCATTTTTTTGCCATGTAGCTGTCCAGTTCTCCCAATACCATTGATTGGAGAGACTGTCTTTTCCCCACGGCCTCCTTTGTCATAGATTAAATGATAAGTGTGTGTTTATTTTTGGGCTCTCAATTTGAATTAATAACCTCAGGAATATTAGCATTTTTGTGTGAAATACACAAATTGTCTTTTTGTAGTAGTTGTATTTATAATATCTAACCTTTCTATGTAAAAAATGGCTTGCATCTATATTTATTTGGGTCTGCTTTTCACAATTCCTGATGTTTTTGGATTTCTTTCAATTCTTGTCATATTTCTTAGTATTAATTTGTGTTTCAAATTTTTATTTCATTAAGATATTTTCTCTAAATGTTTAAATAGAAAGCTTCGTACAGGATTACCATGAATTTTTTTTACTTTTATTGCATTTCCATAATTACCTTGTTTAATATTTCATATGATTTTAAAAGGATTCTCAGCTACAGAAATGTCAACTTTGAGTACTTCATTTGTTCTAAGTATAATTCATAAATATGTCCCAAGTCTTAGAGCATTGAATATTCCAGACATATATCATCTATCCTCTGATCCGTTATCTCTTAGGACTTCCAGAATAGACACACAGCTTCTCCGGTAGCCATTCCAGTCGTAACTTCTGCACACCTGCTTTTTGTTCCCACATAAAAGACAGCCTGGTGGTTTCCTAAGAGTTTTACCAGAGCTTTTACACATCTCGGAACCAGTTCCTGATAGAACCCTCCACACCTGTTTACACTGGTTGCAAGAAATGGTAACATATAAAACCTGACACGGACCTCACACCCTGGGCTTTGGGTTTCTCCATGATCTCCAAACTCAGGGACTGAAGAAATGGAATTTAGACTAATAGGAAACCACAACCCTGAGAACATGTCAGCGGGGTTATTTATGGATCAGTGTTCTCTCAGCAGTTTGGGAAGGCTGGACTTGTATCTTCCTGTTCACGATCTTCCCACGGCTCCCAGGGCCCTCGGGAAAGAGGAACCACACCTCGGCCCGCCGGTGCAGGCGTGACCCCCCTCACGCTCTCTGTCCCCCGAGGGCAGAATCCTCCCGCCCCAGCCCCCCTCCAGCCTCGGCCCCGGCCGCCCTCGGCCCGGAGCCCGCTCCGGCACGGGGCCCCCGCCCGCCGCCGCCTGCCTGTCCCGGACGCCGGGGCCTGGGCCGCGGGGGTCTGGGTGGGGGGACGACGCTTACCTGAGCCGGGTCCCTGTGCGCGGCCGCCGTCGTCGAACTCTGTGGGCGGAGCGGACACCCAGGCCGGCGGTCCCCGTCCCGGCCCCGGCGCGGGGAAGCCTGGAAGGCGTCGCCGAGCCGCGGACCCGCCTCTTTGCCGTGGCGACAACGACTTCTGCGCCCTGACAGTTCCGTCACTTCGGTATCGCCCCCGCACGCCCCAGAGCTGCAAGAAGAACGCCACAAGGACGAGGCCGGAAGTCCCGCCCCTCAGCGATAAATCACCACGGAAACGCTTCCATTGGGTCAACTGCGCGCCGGATCTGGGTAATGTAGTTGGCGGCCCGCTCGAGGCCAGTGGAAGGGTTTTCTCCATCCTGACCAATCAGAGCATGGCTAGGCGCCTCCCGAAAGAATGCTGAAAACCTAGAGGGAGGGAGGGGATTTGCTTCTTGTGAACTGCTGCCAAGAGGCCTAATTTTGAGAATACATGGCAGGGAGATTATTATAAACAGGATAATTCCTGATGTTTGGAGTGCATTTTGGAGCCATGGTCCCTAAGGCCCAATCCAATAAGTCAAAGAAATGCCTTGTGGAAGGAATCACCTCTTATGCCACCAGCTGGCTTGTTCTGTGATCTTATGTAATTTGAGTTTCAATTTATGCAGGTGTTAATCCAGGTACAGTAGGTGGTGTTGGTCACAGCTAAAAGATATTCAAGAGCTCTTCTATTATAAAGAACAACTTTGGGTACGCCTGGGTGGCTCAGTCAGTTAAGCGTCTGACTCTTGATTTCAGCTCAGGTCATGATCTCAGGGTTGTGAGATCAAGCTCCCTGTGCGCTCTGTCTAAATAAGTAAATAAAAATCTTTAAAAGCAACAACAACAACTTTGGCCAGAGTCTAAAGATCTTTTTTGGAAGCAATTGTCTTAGCGATAAATTATGTAATATCTTCCAAAGTTAAGGATGGGTTTCTGATCATAATCACCTTTACATTTACTCCTATAAGCAGGAAACTATGGCCTTGCCAAAGGAAGCAAATCCTGAGCCATGAATGCCTCTGGGGTAGGTATGTCTGGACAATATAAATTCAGGGGAGTTATCAATAAGATGTCTTAGTTTGCTTGTGAAAAGTTAGGGACACCATTAGATAACTTAAGAGGCATTGCCCAGTTGTGTGCTAGCTATGTAGGCATTCACAGGCCCGAGGAGAATGATAACAACCACAGGGAAAGATAGACCCTGTCAGAGCCCAAACTTCTTATTCAAGTGTTACTGTTCATGGATTCATTTGTAGACATTGCTGGTTCTACCCATTCAAGCCAGGAATAATTTAGGTTTTTAGCGCATATGGGAAGAAAATCTCCTAGCCTAAAAGGACCTTGCAAAGGTGTTCTAAATACCTTGCAAAGATGTTTACTGCTGGTGAGATCTCTTAGTGAGTAGGGGCAGATCTGAACCCCCATGGGAAGGTGATGGTGCACACGTACTAAGATTTACGTTAAGTATTTACTAAGATTTACATTAATTTACTAACTTGGTATATATGATTATAATTGAAGAAGGGTAAATACAAGGCACAAGTTGTTCTGGTCATAAAAGTGAAACTTGGTAAGAGACTTCTTCAGGGGCGGTGGCGGTGGGGGTGGGGGTATTGATTGTAGTTAGTTGTAGTTAGTTATTCCCCATTTACATGGGGAATAGAAGAGTAGTTGGTCACAAGGAGTACCAGGGAGTCTCTAGCGTCATGGGAAGATTGGGATCTTTGATGATGAATCCAGCAGTCTTAAAGGTTACCCCCTTAGCAATGGCCTGGGAGATACCGAAAGTGTTATCTTTCCAGGTCAATGCCACAGTAAAGGAAAGAAAATGAAAAAAGGATTTCATGCTTAAAATCTGAAGTCTTGGTCTGGCATTTTGGGTGGAAGCAGTCTACCTCAATGTCAGCTGCTTCTCTTATTTGTTGGTTTTATTTGAAGGTCTCCAGCATCAATACAGGACCAGAAGTCAACTGGTGACTTTAGCTGTGAGATGTGTATTTAAAACTCAGTGCCCTCTAGTTTTCCATTAGTATCAGTGGTCAGGAACACTTGAGAAGGTCCTCTGCAGTGGGGCTCAAGAGCTGTTTTTCTCTTGTGATGTTTCCAAAATACCCAGTCACCAGGCTCCAGACTATGATTAACAGGATCATTTGAATTGGGAACAGGGAAAGCTGCTAACCTGATGATAGGCTTTAACATAAGACATTAAAGACTTACAATCACTGGCTATATTAGTATGGGATAACAAGGGATCAGCAGAAAGTGGGATCAGCCAAGAGACATTGGTTTACTGGTGACTATCTCATAAGGAGTGAGTTTATGTTTTCTGGAGGGGATACTGCAAATAGTCGGCAGAGTCAGAGGCAATTCCGTAGGCCAAGGGAGTACAGTAGTTTCAGCAAGCTTAGAGATTTTAAGTTTTAGGAT